TTATGAGACAATTAAAATACAAAAATACATTTTTTAAAATAAAGTAGATAATAATGTTCATGTGTATCGCACGAGTACTGTACTAGTTTGAATAGAAGTAAAGTATAAAAAGAAATGAATTATTATAAGTGACTTTGAAAAAGTAAACAAACATCTATTTATGTAAAAGCGAACCTTTTTTAGGTTCAATAGCCCAATTCTACATATATTCAATATTCCCAATGAGGCACTAATGATAGTGATCAAGCATATTTTTTTCAAACCATGATTGTTATAATGAAATAAAATTTGGCAAAATTGCATTTTATGCCCCGTAACTAGGAGTGTGTGGCAAATGTGGACAATTTCTTTTTGGTTTAGCAAAAGTGCCTGAAACTCGTTAAAACCCGTAATTCATACCCAATTTGGGCACAAATTTTGAATTTTAACAAGTTACTGTCCTGTTTTGTCACACGAAAAACCGGTCAAATCCGGTAACTTGTAGGTAAATGGGCACGAATTCCGGGTTTTAACAAGTTTTGGGGTACTTTTGCCAAACCAAAAAGAAGTTGTCCACATTTGCCACACACGTATAGTTACAGGGCACAAAATGCAATTTTGCCAATAAAATTTAGTAGGAATGAAAATGAGGTAAAGAATGGAATGATTACATGAAAAGAATCAAACAAGTTTTATCCACCCATCTTATATGATAAATTATAAGTGAAATATTTATTTATATACATATTAACTAATATAAATATATCATTACATAAACCCTTATAACCATATGTGATTAAATAGACTTTTTTTTATAATATAATTCAAGTTATGAATAAATACATAATGTATATGATTATATAAAATAAAATAAGATTTTTTTTCTAAATTATATATATATATATATATGCATTTCTTGTGAGTTTTATTTTATATAAATATTTAATATATCTAATTCAAATATGACTAATAAGTAAAAATAAATATTTTAGTTTTTTATTTGAAATTTATTTTTTATTATGATTTTATTTAATATATTTTAATCATGATAATATCGTATATATTATATATTTTAATTTGTTATTATTATTTGTTAATCTTACTTTTTGAAAAAGTCGATTCCCAAACATATAGGATTGAGAAAACCATCCATTAGGTAAAGAATGGCTAATCCCATATAGATGGGATTTTGCAATTCCCACTGGAATGATCATTACGTTCGTAAAAAAAAAATATTAAAACCCGATCGAATCATTGCTTTTGAACAACATTTTCAAAAATTAAAAAAGTAAAGGAAAAAAAAAATGCTATACCTTTTTTCGCGTATGATATTTGATCTTCTTTTTAATATTTTGGGGTTGAGGAAAGTACTAACAAAGAGATGAACCCTTTGAACTTGTGAAGCACGTTTGATCACTCTTCAAAAGGTTGGGTTTTTCTTTTCCCCTTAAATTTTGACGCTCATATTTTATTATTTCTAAATAGTGCCCTTTTTATTATATGCTAAAACCTTGTCAGCCGTTAATTTTGCGGGTTTTTCTACGGCGTGTATAATTGAAATATTTTTTGGAGGCTTTATATCCTCTTGTGATCTTTTTATTTTAGCAGGTTAGTCCTTTGGGGGACTTTATTCGAAATTAAGAAAAAAAAAAAAAATTGTTTGAATTTTGAGTATGGGGAGATTCTGCGGTTTCATTACAGAACCATTACGTGGAGATTTTGTACCGTTAGATCAACTATCCACGACGATTACATGATGATCTAACGGTTACGAATTCTGACGGAATGGTTCCGTAACGGGACTGTAGAAATTCTTACAAATACGATGACCGGTCAAAAAGAATTTATTAATTCAATGCTAGAAAATGCTAACTTTCCATGGCACGACGAAAAATCTTGTAATATTTCATTCCACAATTCTTATTAATTGGCACAAAAAAAAAATTAAAACGTTTAACTAACTTAAATATAATTT